TGACAAGTGAAGGAACAGGAATTCAGATTTTCGAGTGTGACCTGGTGAGGTCGCTGCGGCAGGAATTCTCAGCTGGAAACACAGATTACAGAGATGTTTAGACTTTTTTTCCTTTTTAAATGACAGTCCTTTTGATTCAGTCCCAAACTGATCGTATCTGTGTCGGCAGTTCTCTGTTCTACGATGAGGACGGCGACCTCGCACATGAATTTTACGAAGAGACTGTGGTGACAAAAAATGGCCGAAAAAAGTTCAAGTTGAGGAGGATCCAGAAGAACTTGATTCCACAGGTTTGTTGTCGTCGTCACGGTGATCCTGATTGTTTTGAATCTTAACATTTAAATAAAAAAAAAACCCAAATGTTCTTCCGTTTCAGGGGATCATAAAGCTGGACCTCCCCTGTATCCACGTGGACTTTCCCATCATCCTCTGTGAGCTTTGAGGCGTTGCACAGGACTGGAGTCAGACGACAGGTTCTCACCCCCGGGGGGGGGGGGGGGGGGGGGGATGTGTCGCTCCACCCAAAGTCCAACACAGAACCACTGTTCATATGACATTAATATAAATGGAATGTTATGCACTTCAGTCGTTACAGTCAGAGACGACTGTTGTCAACAGTAGCAGTGGTTCACACCCGTGAAATCATCGTCTTCAGGATTTAATGTTGATCTGTGAAAGTGTGTGTGTGTGTGTGTGTGTGTGTGTGCGTGTGCACTCCTGTTTCTATGAGTGATGAGGTTTTTGTGTGTGTGTGTGTGTGTGAGGTTGACATTGTAGCTAAAAGAACATGAGACACATGAAGAGTTCTACTGTATGTACACATTAATACCCAGGTGTATCCACTGTCTGCAGTTCCACTGACTCAGACCCAGCACTAGTGAAAACAATGGACATGAGTTCAAATCTCTTAGAAATGGAAATACTTGAATAAATGGTTTGTTGAGCTGGAACGGAATTGGTCCCAGATTTTTGTTTTTGATCCTGGGATGAGAAACGTGTGTTAGTGTGTACTGTATTATATATGTACGTATGTGTGTTTATAAACATACAGTACATGTATGTGTGTGTGTTTATATACATGTCTAACTGACTTTACAGAGAAACTCTGGATGTGGCCCAGGTCTGGACTTCATGTTCTTCACTGACCTGCCTGTGGTCCAGATCTGTTTTGCACGTCTTGAAGAAGAGAAGAACAACACGTTGACCGTTAACCCTAGAGTTCATAAACCAGGCTGGTTAACTACCTGTTACCAACCAGGAGTGAAGCTTGGAAACCTAGTCACCAGTTACTAGTTTCCCATAAATGGCAGTAGTTTTAGATTTGAATCTGTCCACTGGTTGACGGGGGCGTGTCCTTCAAACGTGCTCTCAGCACAGCTGTCATTGGACGTCTTCAGATTCTGTCTTATTTATAGCCTTCCATCCTGGCCTTGTGGAGCGTCCCTGTCCCTGACCAGTCCTGTGACCCAGCGGTCACTGCTGGGTTTGACCGCTGACTTCATTCTTCACGCCTCGTCCCAACAACACGTCAACGCTCTTTTTCCTCCAGTGGCTTCACATTCAGCTGTGACTTTGTTTACGACTGTTGATGATAATCTGACATAATTAGAGCCTCAGTTAACGTGATATTGGGAGGACTCAAAGACTCGATTCAGAACCAGCGGAGAATCGCTGCCAGTTGGAACTCCATCAAACTTTTATAGCAGTTTGAACATATTTCACGCTGCAGTTTTGACATGTCTCCACAATAAACGGGCAGGGCCTCCATCTGCAGACGTTTCTCTGCCGTCTGTAATTGTGTGGAATGTGGCTGGGTGTGTTTGGGGTCAGAGGTCAGGCACTTTGATGTCTTCCCTGTGCAGTTGTCTTTGATGTGATTCTGCTGAGTCGTGTGAGGAAGTACCAGCTGATGGGGTTCATGAATCATTTTTCTTATCTCCTTCTCCTCCCCCTCCTCTTCCTCCTCCTCCTCCTCCTCCTCCTAACGTACACAGCGTGTTTACAGGCTGAGGTCGTGGCCGCGGCTGCTGTTGACACTGTCGCTCATTAAAATCATCAGTGGTGTTTGTGAAGGCGTGCTTTGACACAGAGGACTTTGACCTCCTTTAACTGTATCTACAGTTTAACTCTCCGTTTCCCTCTGGTCTGATGGGTTCATATAAACAGCTCAGAACAAAAACCAACTGAGCTCAGAATCTAAACGTCCCGAGAAAAATGGATCTAGTTGAGAGAAACAGTAACGTTGTAATTAAAAACAGTTCCGTTCACTTCACGTCTTATGGTCGACGCTTCAGTTCCACTTCACGTCAGATCTTACCTGTTGACACGGTGGTCCAACCTCTGGCTACACTGTGACCGCCTGTTCCGTCTACTGGCGGTGGGAGGCTGTGATGGCTGTTTCCCCTGCCATTGTTTTTACTTCCTGATGGTCCCGCACTCTGATGGTGATGCAATGCTCAGGAGGCAGAGGTCAGAGGTCAGAGGAAAGCCGAGCCCAGGCGTTCATTCACACAGAGCGTTCACGCTCCTTAGTTTTTCTCCAGTGGCGTTCATGGCCAGTGGGGAGAGGGGGGGTGGGGGGGAGAACGGAGCTGATGACATGGTGATGTGAGTCAGCAGGGCCGGGAGAACAAACGGCGGAACGGACTCTGACACAGGAAAAAGGCTCACTTCCAGGCGGCCCCCGCCTCATCCTCATCATGTGCTCTGGCATCGTTCAGCTCACGTGTAGCTGCAGAGGAAAGGTTCAGAGAAACGCTGCCCCCCCCTCGCCCCCTCCCCCTGAAGACTTGGACTGTCTGTAGTGTCTGTAGTGTCTGTAGTGTCTGTAGTGTTTCTGCTCCACAGATCCTCACAGCTTCAAATCACGTCCCTCCGTCCCAGTGTCTCCTGTACTTGACCACTTGGTGGAGACGTTGCCAGTGGCCTCAGGCAGCACAGACATCTGTGGACCAGATGAGTGCTGCCCCCTGTCTGACGTGCGCTCCATGTATTGAGACACAGTAGAAGAAACATTATAAAAATGTTAATGAACCTCAGTGACTCCATTAAATCCTGAAAAACTTTTACAGCATCGTAGCTCAATGAACATAAATGATGTAGGAACAAAAGAATTTGACGATACAAAAAAATAAGATATTTTAATATAAGAATAGAAATGATCAAAGATATGAATGAAGGCTAAGATGTTACTCTCACCAAAGTTTCAGAGTTTTCTTCTACTTTAATAGTGACTCTAAGAGTTAGTTTTAAGAAAAAAGATTTTCTATCACCGAGGCTAGTGCTACAGGAGTTGGTGTGGCACCACATTGACCCCCCCCCGTCCCCCTCACGCCCCCACACCTATTATATCATCACAGTAATATAGAACAGGATACAGTTGTATCAGTGTGGTCTCTGAACAGATGTTCGTGAAACCACTTACACCAAAACACTTTGTTCTTCTCTGAAACAAACAAAAACAAAATCCTTATAAACTTGGCATTAATTTGTAACATTTTAGATTCAGCTCATTTTACTTTTATATTTTCATGAAGAGGTTGAGGATGTAAACACCCCCCGTCACAGTTAAATCAGACACAGCGGTGCAGATGGAGGGGTGTGTGTTCATGCTCTTATTTGGGGGACGTGTCCTACTGTCCCTCTGACTCTGACCTCTCATGAATCTTGACTTCGCTCTCGGTACAGTATATCTGTTACACAGCGGTGGGAGCAAACTTTTGGACCGGTCCACTCACTGTGACCGGGGGGGGGGAACAGAAGTTAAACTTTTAAACAAACGACAAAAACAAACCGTAACACGTTAAACTAAGTGGCGGTTGACGTTAGCTTAGTAGCTAAATCCTGATGTAAGCGACACCATTTCACGTCTCCAGGACATTAAACAACTGACGGACATCCGGGTTTTCTCCACCCCCCCTTTATCCCAAAGATAATGGACATTCCAAAAGTGATTTGGCTCCGGGAACAGTCGAGTGGCGACTGACAACATCGCAGGGGGTAACTTTAACTTCACTCCTGACCGGGCGGCGGAAAGACAATTTACTCTCCAGCAACACATGACTTTGTAGAAGAAGAAAAAAAAAACACAGCCCACGTTTCCTCGCGGTTTTCTTCCTCCTGAAGACATGTCCATTCTGTATTTTCCAATTTGTTGTGAGGCAACGCAGGAACGCGGCAGGTTGTAACAGGCGTCTGCTCTTCGGGAATGCTTCCTCAGTCAACCAGCCAAGGTACGGTGGTCCGGTCGTGGTCGTGTTGTCTTTGTAGTAGTTGTTGTCGGTATTTTTACTCTGGTTTTTCCCTAAAACAAACCCAAAAACGAAAATTGAAGTGATGCGAAAAAAAGTCTAACTACAAGACAAAAGTATAAACTCTCTGATGGAGCGTGGCATTATATACAGGAAAGAAGAGACGATAGGTTTTAAATAAATAAATTACATTTTTAGGACTTTTTATGTCTCTTAAAATGGGTGAAATTTCACATTTGATTCTATTTCACATAGAGTTAATTTAATAGTTTTCTTAATAGTTTTTTTCTGATGAGTTTTTCTTAACTTTTCTTTTTTCTTTTACAACTTGCCTGTATTTTTTAAACTGTTCTTTATTTGTACTCCAGTACATCGAACCTGAAACTTAATCAGTCACTAAGTTATTATTAACTACCCATCAGTCTGGACGTTACTCTGACTTCACCCCAGTCAGTAAATGAAGGAATCTTCACATGCCGTCAGTCTGAATAGTGTTTTTTTTTTTTGCAAGTCTATGAAATTTATATATATTTTTTCATGAACTTTGTAATATTTTGACGCCGAATGTTATGTTTTTGGCAACGTTCTGAGACGTGCTATGAATTTATAGCCACCCTCGTATTATAAAAATAATCCAATTCAAGTCTTACTGTCAGCTCAGATCTGTTCAGAAGAACTGCTGTCAAATGTACTTTTGTCGTTCTTACAGAGTTTCCCATTCAATGTCTGAATTAATTACACTGGAATTTCCCTTCTTGTAAAGTTGAACTAAAACATCTGATTGGCCTCTGTGATTTATAGAGCAGAGAGAGACGGTCCTTTCTGTCCAGCCACAATTGAAGACATGTTGTGCTGGACTCTGTGTGACTGGAAAGTTCTGCTGCTGATTGTTCTTCTGACGGACCGCCTCTGCGCTTTGGAACTGAAACCCACGCAACGGCCACTGTATTCTCAAAAGCCCTTGCTCCTCGTTTGGAATGCTCCGACGGAGGACTGTGGCCCGAGGCATAACGTGCGTTTTCAGCTGGAGCAGTTCCACATCGTGGCCTCGCCCAATGAGGCTTTCGTTAAGCAGAACCTCACCATCTTCTATAAAGACCGACTGGGTTTGTACCCTTACTTCGAGTCGGACGAAACGCCGGTGAATGGCGGGCTGCCGCAGGTGGCCAGCCTTACGCAGCACCTGGAGAGAATGCCAGAGATGGTGAACAGGTATATACGTGACCCCAAGGCCAAGGGGCTGGCAGTGATCGACTGGGAGGAATGGCGCCCACTCTGGATACGGAACTGGGCAACCAAAGATATTTACCGCCGATATTCTCGCGAGCTGGTGCGCCAGAAAAACCCAAAATGGTCGACAGAGCAGGTGGGAAAGGTAGCCCAGCAGGAGTTTGAAATCTCTGCAAGGAACTTCATGCTGGAGACGCTGAAGCAAGCCAAGAACCTGAGGCCCAACCAGCTGTGGGGGTTCTACCTTTTCCCCGACTGTTACAACCACGACTACTTGCGCACGTTGGAGAACTACACCGGCCGTTGCCCCGACGTGGAGGTGGCTCGCAACGAGCAGCTGAAATGGTTGTGGATGGAGAGCACGGCTCTCTTCCCCTCCATCTACATGGGCACCGTGCTGCGCTCTTCACCGTCTGGTCGTCAGTTCGTTCGGAACCGAGTGAAGGAGGGAATGCGCTTGGCGTCATCGGGCGATGGGTTGGCGCGTCCTGTCTACGTGTACACCCGACCCACCTACTCTGGTTCTCTGGAGCAGCTGACAGAGGTGACGACAGTAACTGCATCTGTATCTGTAACACCGTCGTTTTTAACCTGGTTGTCTGATAACGTAACTGCATCTGTATCTGTAACACCGTTGTTTTTAACCTGGTTGTCTGATTTAGATTGGACGATTATGAAAGCACCAATTAGAAGGTTCTAAAAACCTAATCCACACCTGGGGTGAATGGAAAAGCCACCTGATCCAAAACAATCACAGCTATCACTCTCATCAAAAGGACGCCCCCCAGAAATGTTTTTTGACTGCAGTTCTTCTACTGGCCAGATGGATTGATTCCAAAATGTTGCTCAATCCTGTCTTGTCAATGGAAACACTCCATAAAGAAGAGTCTCTCTGTGTTGGTTTGTAGATCTGCTCCTTCTATAACCATTCTGATCATAATGATAAATAATAATAATCTTAAATTCAGACTGTACTTTCAGTCTGTTGTCTTGAAAAGTACATTTTCTACAGATGTTATATAATCACAACGAGACATTCAGAGAGAGAACTCTCTGCTGGTCAGCAATGGTACTGCGTCAGAAATTGCATTCTGGGTGGCTTCCAAAAAAGACCGTCGGATTGGTCGTCCATCATTGATATACGTTCAGTGTTTTTACCACACATAATTGTGGTGGGGTGTGAAATGACTGTCGTGTTTGTGTGCTCTGGTGGTCACATACGGTATGACGCTTCCACGTGTTACGCTAAAGTGACCAGCTTTTCTTTTACGACCTGGTATCAAACGGTGGCTTCACTGACCCCTGTCTGTCTGAGTCCTCGCTGCATGGAACTATAGCTTTTTCTTATCCACATCCACACTCTTTTCCTGTTCTGGTTGCAGACACAGACACACACCGATTCCTCCCGTTTTTGTGGAATGGGCAGGATGGGTGTTGGTCGTGTTGGAAATCTCACTAACACCCTAAAGACCATTTCCTCTATGAGTAAATCAACTGAGAAAATCTGCTGCAGTGCCTGACATACAGTAGCTTATGAGTGGCTAACACTTTGACCTTGTTAAAACGAGACCTAACAGCACATTTATGTTTGTTGCCGAGGGTCGACTGACATGTGGCCTTATCTTTCACAGTACGACCTCGTCTCCACCATCGGGGAGAGCGTGGCTTTGGGAGCCGCCGGAATCATCCTGTGGGGAGACGCAGCTTATGCCAGCAGCCCAGTGAGTGACCGCACCGTCGTTATGACCGTTTAGCCAATCACAGCACTTCATGTTTGGGGCCATTTGTCGACCTAGTTTTCCCTGAGAGCTTGTGTTTGAAGACGACGACTTTGGTCACATGAACGTCACGGCTGAGCTCAGAGGTTCTTTGATCTGTTTTTAGCCCATCACAACCTTTACTTTTTGTCAGGAAACAAACTTTTCCGTTGTATTGTTCAGGTCCACGGCGTTGACCTTAAAACAACTTGAAGCTAATTTAAAGAATCAAGTCATTGGTGAACAATTTGGAACAAATTTGTCAGCGATTCATGTATTTATTTCCTCCCAGTGTTGGCCTGGTTTTTAACTGAATTTAATGTGAAAACATTTGGTTCAATTTTCTGTAGAGTTAAAACCCAAACCTCCAAACCTGAAGGTAGACTTTGTAATGTTATATCAAGAGTTCACTTGTTGTATTCAACTGGAAAAAACTTCACTTTAATTTTGTTAGTAGCACCCCCTGAAGGGGAAAAAGAGAAGCTACATCTGTCTACAAACAACTGGACATTTTATAAAGAGAAGCTACATCTGTCTACAAACAGAAAACTGGACATTTTAAATCCTCGTCTTTTAAAAACTTTCTTCTTTCAAAGATTTTCTTCAAAGACGTCCGATGAAACAGCAGAGGCCGTTTCACGGTGGCTGACGGTTTTTCTTCCCTCTCCACAGACCAGCTGTTTGGACCTTGACAAGTATCTGCGTGGTCCACTGAGTCAATACCTCGTCAACGTTTCCACAGCAGCAGAGCTGTGCAGCCAGGCCTTGTGTGGTTCCCACGGCCGCTGCCTGCGCAGAAACCCAGACAGTGATGTTTACTTGCACCTGAACCCCCTGACCCACGGTATCATCAGGCAGAATGGCAGACCCACCGTGACCGGTGAGCTCAGCGAGGCAGACGTGAAGATGTTCCAGCGGGACTTTCAGTGCCAGTGCTACAGCGGCTTCCAGGGCTGCAACCAGACCGACCCCCTGCACCAGAAAGGGAACGCGGCCCAAACCACGGCCTCGGCCGCTCACTGTGTTTTCTTACTGATCGTTTTTCTGCTCTTTAGTTAAGGCCACACACTGGTCATTGTTCAGTAGTTGACAGGTTGGTGTTTTAAAGTACTGTTTCATATGGATGATACAAAGTGAAAAAACACTGTGGAAAATTCAAAGGTTATGTTTGATTATTACTTTTAAACCTTTTGTAAAGATGTTTGTTTACATTTTCTCCTGTTTTTTTCTGAGTTTCTAAGGTGTCAAATTGCATTCTTCTCCCAGAGAGAGCGTGGAGAACATATTTACAGACACGGGTCGACGGTTGCTGTGCAGTGGACTCGATGCAGCTCAAACTGCTGAAAGCACAGTTTAAAGTGCCTGACCTTTTTTTTTTCTTATGACCTCATTTATAACTAGTGTGTGAAGGCAGTTAGCGCTGGGGCTATTTATTTGAATGTAATGTTAGATGCCTTTTTAGCGACATTTTTATGTCCAAATCATGACTACTGAGTTTTTTTTCTAAGGCTCTACTTTAGTCCACTAATGCTGGAAAAAACACTCGGCCACCGTTGTTCTCCTGAGACACAGTCGACGCCGGATCTTTGAGGCAACGTTGCTGAATCTTTTTAACCTCTGTTTTTTCTTCTTAAAATAAAAAGTAAATAAAGGTCTTTATGAAACTTTTTGTGTGACGTCGCCTCATTATCCTGTCATGACAATTATACCACAGACGATTTGAGTTTTTTTTTTAAAGCTAGCTTGTCATTCAGTCATTCTCTGACAATTCTCTGCTAAAAAAACACACTCCATACAGAAAGGCCATCAGTTACCACAGAATTAAACCCATGATCTCCCTGCTGTAAGGCAAGCCTATTAACCACTCATCCACTGTGTGGCCCTAGTTCACAGTCATAAAAAATAATTTTACCTTTGGATAAAGATCTATGAAAATGAGAAAAAAAGAAAACACTGCCTGTCTTTATAAAAAAGAAACCAAAAAACATTTTGCAGGCGGCGGCCTCACAACCCCCTCCCCTTGTAATTACAGGCTGCTGTTAAGCCAGGAGTTATTTTTTACTACTTCTAAGAGGTTTGCAGGAACATGTGAGCGTTTGGAGGTGAAAGAGTCCATTATGGTTGATTTTCTCACAGTCGTTTCGACTGAAAATATATATTTACACTGACCTTGGTGAGCAGCTGATGTTGAAGCTCAACAGATAACTGTTATTGCTGTTGTGGATAATAATGGGATGAGGAGTTTCTTTTTCCGGGCCTGTGTCTTTAAATACTACTTCGTCAACTCATTTGCATGTCTCTGCTGATTGGCTGTCGGACACTTGTGGCTTCAGTTTTCCGGTTTTCCTCTTGTGGTCATGTGCCTGCACAGCGGTTTGTCCAGAGTAAGTGTGTTGGCGTTTCTGTCTTTGATGAAACACGGTTTCTGTTTTATTACACTTTATTCCTGAGAAGTTACAGGTCAGTGTCTGTCTGTTGTTGTACGAACGACCAGTCACACAGACCGGAAGTAGAGTCTACTCGAAAAGAAGAAGTTCTTGACGCTCAACTGCAGATTCGAAAAGAAGAAGTTCTTGACGCTCAACCGCAGATTTGTCACGGACGATTTTTAAAAAAATTTAAATAAAGTTTGTAAAAATAGAACTTCTAAATAATGAGTGTATGGAACTTAAGCAGCAAATTTAACAGTAAGTAAATTAGTTAAACGATAAAAGAAACGTTTGTGAGTCATAATTGTGACACAAAGTCATGACATGAAGTCATCTTTACAGAAAGAAAAAAACTATGAAATGGAAAAGTCAAATTTATAAAACTAAAAATCTAAACGATAAGATGAATTATGTGGTGAATGACAAAACAGTTAAATAAATATACGATAATGTTATGTTTAAAATTTAAAAATCAATTTAAACTCAAGATTATTGAAGAAAATTATAAAACGTCCAAAGTTAAGGATACAATGTCCTGATATTATACAATAAATTCTTATGTTAAAAGAACTGTGTGTAAATTAATTAAATTATTAAATGTCTTTTTCTGTTTTAATTGTAAATTTTATTTCTCATTGCTGACCTACATTTGGACTTTTTTATTATTTTTTTACTGGTGAGAACAGACTTTGACATGTGATCTCAGCCGTGTTTTTGTTTCCTGCTCCTTTCAGCGATGACTTCCTGTCACGTGCTGCTGCTCCTCAGTCTCTTCAGCCTCTCGTCAGGGCTGCGGGTTCAAAACTCATACATTTCCAAAGTTCCCTTCCTCACGGTGTGGAACGCTCCCACCGGTGCCTGTCTCTCTAGATATGGCGTGGACCTGGACCTGGGGACGTTCAACATCGTCCAAAACCAGAACCAGACGTTTATGGGTGACAACATGACCATCTTCTATTCTAACAAGCTGGGCTTCTACCCCTGGTACTCCAGCTTCAAAAACCCTGTCAATGGTGGAGTCCCCCAGAACGCCAGTCTGGACCGACACCTCAGAGCCGCCTGCGATGATATCCGCACCGACATTCCTGACGGGGAATTTGAGGGCCTCGCCGTGGTGGACTGGGAGAGCTGGAGACCTGTGTGGGAGAGAAACTGGGACAGTAAACAGGTGTACTGGGAGGCTTCCAGAGCACTGGTCCGGGCCAAGCACCCAGACTGGACCGCTGCACAGGTGGAGGCCGAGGCTCGGGCTGAGTTTGAGGACGCAGCCAGGAAGTTCATGCAAGAAACTCTGAAACTGGGGCAACAGGAGAGACCCGACGGGCTGTGGGGCTTTTATGGCTTTCCTAACTGCTACAACTATTACTCCCCAAAAACAAACTACTCAGGAGAGTGTCCGGCCGACGAGGTGACGAGGAACGACCAGCTGCTGTGGTTGTGGAACACCTCGTCTGCTCTGTATCCTGACCTTTACCTCGGCCTGGACCTCCGAGGCCTCAGCACCGAGGTCCGTCTCTACACCCACCACCGCATCCTGGAGGCCCTGAGGGCGGGGGCTCGGGCCGCCCCGTCCACACCACTGGTGTTTCCCTAAACTCGCATCGTCTACACCTAACAACTGGAGATACTCG